CTGAAAACGGGCAAAGAAGGAGGAAAGCCGTGACCAGGCCAGCCACTAGCATGGTCTATGAACTGTCAAACGTCTTTTGAGAATTTAAAAAAGCAATTTGCGGTCAAACTGATCTTAAAGCATCCTTGTCACGGAAGCCCTTTGTGATTCAAGCCAATGCCAGCAATGTGGCCATCGGAGCTGTGCTATTGCAAAAGAACCAGAATGGGATCCTACAACCCTATGCCTACACTCAAAAAAATTCACTGAGTGCAAGAGGAGGTGGGCTGTGGGAAAAGGAAGCCTTTATGATTAATTGGGCTCTATTAAACTGGCAACACTATCTAGAGGGGAGCAAGGTGCCTTTCGAGATATGGATTGATCACAAAAACCTAGAAGCACTGAAAACTTCCTGTAAATTGTCCCCAAAACAAGTACGATGGGCTTGTATACTTCAATCATTTTAACTTCACCCTAAAGTACATACTGGGAGGAAAAAAATGTTTTACCTGATGCTTTATCCAGACTGCCCCAATACAAGAGCCACCATGAAGAGGTTAATGAAGCAATTATTTCCACTCCACAAACTGCTTCTCAACTCACGCCGATGATCCTCAGGCAAAGAAAATAAAACAAGAGCTCCTCACCGACCAATGGTTCAAGGACAATCAAACCTCCCTAACATGCAGGGATGGTTTGGCTTACAAAGGGGGGAAGTTGTACTTGCCCATATCCCTCTACCTCAATGTGCTCCGGCACAGCCATGATATAAAACAGGCTGGACACTTTGGATATTTAAAAACACTATACCTCATCCACCAGCAATTTTGGTGGCCGGGTTTGAAATGGGACATAGAGAACTATGTCCAGAGTTGTGCTGTATGTGCCACCATGAAAAGAATTCTGGGGAAAACCCCTGGGCTATTACAACCGGTGGCAGACTTTTCCCAACCATGGGAAGAAATTGCCATGGATGTTATAGTAGACCTACCAGAAAGTAGGGGAAATACCGTCATCTGGACTGTGATAGATCTGTTTTCAAAGCAGGCTCACTTCATTGACTCAAAGGGCTCCTGTCCACCCAGCAACTAACCAAGATGTTTCTACAGACTGCATGGCGCACCAAAACGAGTAATCTCAGACCAGGGGTGTAGTTTACAGCCATGTTTTGGAGACGTTTTCTTAAGCTAATTGGCTCATCTCAAGGACTATTGTCAACTTTTCACCTGTCTACCAATGGAGCGGCTGAATCTGCGAACTCAATGGTAGAGCAGTATCTCCGATGCTATATGGATTATCAACAGACGAACTGGACTGACCTCCTCCCTTTTGTAGAGGTGGCTTACAATAACTCTGTTCACAGCAACACTAGTTTTACATCTTTCAAAATGGCCACAGGAAAAGAGTTCAGCCCAATATCCGAATATCCTCAGGGACCTTTTTTTAAAAAACTAGTTCTATTGTTTTTTTAATTTTTACATCAAAGTGCTTAAGAAACAAAGTGGTGGTGGGGGAATCAATCATCCAAAAACAGAATCAACATATATAACTCAGGTTCATTCATTAAAAGTTCCCTCTCTATTTCCCTCATGTAATATAACATATTCAAATTAATACATTTCTAAATAGAATTCAATCGATCAAAACAGTCATCAATAACATTTCATCTATAAAAATCCAAATCCTGTTTTTGAGCTTTACTAATTTACTCTTACCATATTCCAATTTAGCCTTGAATAGACATATTATTAACACTTCGGGTATCCCTCATTTCCCTTTTTTCCTAACATAATAATTATATCTAAAATGCATATATTATTCCAACAGTAGCATTCTTATAATTTCCACATATATTCTAATTCTTACTCTAATAAGTCATTTATTAATACCATTTCTTCTCTTGTCACAGATCCCTCTTATTCTTCTTCCATTATAAAATAGTTATCCTACCTAAAATAAAAATATTAGTCCAGAATACATTTCTACTCTGTTTTAAATATAAATTCTATCAATCAATCTATGTCTATAAAAAAATCTTTTTAACCCATTAGGTAAAATTTAAATCCCCTCCAAGTAATTATCATATCTAAGACAAGCATATTATTACAAAAGATATCTTCTTACTAAATTCACATACTCCGTTAATTATTAAATCAGTCAAGATCTCTAAAGCTATTTTAACCCGTTAAGTAAAATTTTAAGTCACATTTTTAAATCTAATTCTGGCTTTCTTTCTGTGCCAAACCGGTTTCCATAATAAAGCTTCTGTCTCATCGAATCTCAATATTTGAATAGGGGTATTTATCGACACAGTCTGGTCAAAGTTCTCTTCCCCTTCTTCCAGTATCATCTGAATGGTGTAATCAATTTTATTCCATGTTGTAGTTGCTAGTTGATTATCCACATTATTACTGTTTTCAGTAATTTATGTCTGCCTGTCAATTTCTGTTGTTTTTGACACTGCAGGTATCTCAGTTAAAATCCTTCTTTGATCGTCAAAGTTCTCCATAAATTGTGTATGGGATTGTGTAATATCCTCTTTTATGTTAATTGATTCATTTTCTGTTGTTTCTTGACTTAGGTAGTAATCAATTAGAGTTTGAAAGTCAGCTTGAGGTTTTGGGGCAAGATTTTTTCTAGAAATGATTTGCTCAGTAGGTTCCACTGTTTTTCCCGGTACAAGTTTATAGTTGAGTTGTGGGTATGGTTCCTCCATCTCTTTAAGTTGTGTATATTGTTGCGTACAGGCCTCTTTGGAACTAATCTGTTCCTCCTCTATTGTTCCTTGGCCTATAGATTGATCCATTAAGATTAGAGATTCAGTTTGGGGTTCTGAAATGACATCTTTAATTTTTCTCCAAGATTTCATGTACCCCATAGCTTCCAATTTTTTTCCAATATAAGCTCATAATCAAGCTGTGGGTAAAATCCCTCCATTTCAGTGGTGAAATAGTCTTTTACTCTTTTAGTGGAGGCTATATTTCCTAAAAGTCAACAAATATCCACCTCCACAATTTAGTAAACAAACTCACCACCAGCTATTTCAAGTCCTTTATCTTTTCTCTTTTATTATCACTTGAAGGTCAAATCCATCTTCACACACCAAGAGGGAATACAGTTGCAATAGCAATTTTCACCATAAAATGTCCTCAGTAGACTGTAAGATCTTTTTTTCCAAGTTAATAAAATTTTATCTCATTAGGAAATTAAAGGGAAAAAAGCAGATATCTCCAATATAATAAGTAAAATAATAATAATGTTATGATAAGAATTTTTCAGGACCCCTAGGTATCCAAAAAATTAAATAGTCAGTAAAAAATAGCTATTTTATTTCTTTTGTTTCCAGAGCTCTTTTTCCCAAGTAAACAGACACTACTTTCTTAAAGCAGGGAAGTAGTTCAAAAGATTTTTACAGGAAAATAGTTAGGGCAAAGAGAGGGAAGGAAAGGTCTCACCAGATCCTCCACTGTGGTTGTTTACGCTTAGCTGTTCTTCTGACTTTTGGCTAAGTGATCGGCCATTTTACTGGCTGATCTTTTCTCTGTGGCCCTAAGGAGCTACCTCGGACCGCGGAAGGAGCAGCCGCCCTTCCACAGTCAGATAGGGGCCTCCTCAATGGTAGTCGCTCCTCTAGGGTGACTTTTTGATCCTATTGAGAATCTACCGGCAGAGGGAAACCAGCTAGCGAAGAGACAAGTCTCTCCGCATGACCACCTGCACCGTGATCCAGAACCGGAAGTCCCACTTCCCAAACTCTTGATCAGTGGGTGAGGGGGTAGAAAGAAGTCTGGAAAGCCATGAAAACTGCTTTGAAAAAAGCTTCTGAGATATATAAAAAGCAGGCAGATAAAAAAGAGCTCCTCAAAGCACATTCCAAGTGGGGGGAAAGGTTTATTTGTCCACAAAATATTTATGGCTTAAGTTACCCAGTAAGAGGTTAGGGCTGAAGTACTTAGGACCTTTCCCCATTGTAAGGATCATTAATCCGGTCACGTTAGAATTAAAGCTTCCCAGACTCTTAGGGAAAGTCCACCCTGTGTTCCATTGTAGCCTGTTGAAACCTTTTCAGGATTAAGACCTCCCCCTAAGAAGGCACCTGGACCTCTATTGTAGCAGGACAGATTCACTATGAAGTGAAGTGTATTCTTGGTTCTAGATCTAGTGCAATGGAAGGGGTATCCGTTGTCTGAAGCCACCTGAAGCCACCTGAAATCTAGTGATGTAAAAGCTGACAGACTCATTAATAAGAAACATCCTAACAAACCAAGAGGCAACCCCTAACCTATGGTTTTGTTTGCATTACAGGATTTTTCCTTTTTGTAAGGGGGCTGGATGTCAACACTGCTAACATAGGATGTTCTTGCTTTGACAACAGATGAAAATGCAGCCATTTTCTCTATGTTTTTAGAATTAGTTGATGCTGGGAGGGGAAATAGGGATGAGAGTCCAGCTAGTCATAACAATAAATACTTGGGCATGGGAGCCAAAGGACATTGAGCTGATAGCATTTTGATGGGCTGGAGAGCTGGGGAGGAAGCCCACGCTTCAAACTAATTGGGGAATGTGATTTATGACTGTTTATTGGAGGTGGGAATTGTACTTTGTTACTTTGTATCCAGGGGAGGGGAATTTAGTTTTTGGCTTTAACTATGTAGTGCTGATACTTTGTTTCCCGAATAAAAGATTCTTTAAGGTAAACAATGCCTCGAAGTTCTTTTGAAGGGTTTCATCTGTCGAAACCATGACACCTTTCTCTACATATACTCCAGAGATATACCTGTAAAAATTACTGGATTCATGAGATTTAAAATCAACCCTCACATCCTACTAGGTGGATTATGTTAGTGTAATTTAGTGAACTGAACATATGCATCCATCTTATATTTCATATGTCTCCTGTTCTTCAGACTTGAGACTCTGGAATTCTTCAACTATCTCTTCTGAAAAACAAATATATTTATTTTAGTTTTGTTTTTTTTAATGAAGTTTTGCAATTATATTTTAATTGTTTTTCATTTTAGCCCTGAAGCCTGGGATGCAAAGGAGGATTCCAACTGTAACGGCATATCTGTGAGTTGAAAATGTTCTTTCTTTCTTCTGAGTTACTGTGAGCTTCCCTAATTTTTAATTTAAAAACCACATTATTACGGCTTTGTCTTGCCACAGAACTAGTTATGTGAAATCTATTCCAAGAAACATACCACTATTTACTTATATGAGTGATACAATAGCTTGATAATACCCTTTATTTTATTCTAGTGTTCACCATCAGCTGCCCATAATGTGAGAATTTCATTGAACAAACTCAGTGAATGCTTCCAAGGCAACATCTGATTCTGTACTAGGGAATAGTGGTGTCCTCTTATTCTAATGGGACCCAGACCTGCTAGCAACTTTGATTTTGGTTAATTAGTCTTAAGCTTTTGAGTTACGCAGAGTAAAGAGGATTTTTTTTTTTTTTTTTTTTTTTACAAATTAACAGAATCACAGAGAGTTGAACAGGACTTTGGAAGTCTTCTAGTCCAACCCTCTGCTTGAGCAGGATACCATATACCATTTCAGATAAATGGTTGTCCAATTTCTTCTTAAAATTTTCCAATGATGGAATACCCACAACATCTGAAGGCAAGTCATTCCACTAATTAATTGTTCTAATTGGCAGGAAATTTATCCTTATTTCTAGGTTGGATCTTTCCTTGATAAGTTTCTACCCATTGCTTCTTGTCCTGCTTTCAGGCGTTTTGGAGAACAGATTGATCCCCTCTTCTTTGTAGCAGCTCTTAAATATTGGAAGACTACTATCAAGTCACCTCTTCTGGCAATTGTTCTTCATATATTTTAGCTTCCATTCCCCTGATCATCTTTGATGCTCTTCTCTGCACTCTTTCAGAATCTCAACAGGCTTTATAAAACAGTATTTACACTTCATATGATCTTGATTCTATCCCTCTGTTAATGCAGCCTAGGACTGCATTGGCTTTTTTAGCAGCTGCAACACACTACTGCTCATATTAAGTCATTGTCTACTAGGACTTGTAGATAGTTATTGCTATTGAGCTATTAATATAACAAATATTGTTATATAAATGTAGCAAATCAGCACTTTCAAAATCTACACACAAATTAGAATGTACTCATATGCTGAAACATAAATTTTTCAGAATTTTAAGTATTTTGCTGACATTTTATTAAAAAATGAAAATGTAATGGAAAAAAGCATCACAATGTTTCTCATAATGCTGAGAAAAGTACATACAGATTCATATACTGTATTTGTAGTCTTGCACACAAATTAGGTATAAGTTCTCATTCAGCTTTTTTGCAAAATTCACAAACGGAACTGACCCCAAGTCAAAATAAATCTGGGAAAGGAGTATCTGGGCAAAAAGTAGATATGCAGATTCAGTTGTGCAAACTTATATAAAGAATGATAAGACAGACACATCTGTCTGTCTGTTTCTGTCTCTCTCTCTCTCTGTCTCTCTCTGTCTCTGTCTCTCTCTGCCTCTCTGTCTCTCTGTCTCTCTCTGTCTCTCTCTCTCTTCCCCCCCCCCACACACACAGAGAGAGAGAGAGAGAGAGAGAGAGAGAGAGAGAGAGAGACAGAGAGACACACAGAGAGAGAGAGAATAAAACAGTCATTAATTGGATTAAATTTGTGCTCCTGCTGTAATCTTTTTTTAGATTTCAATTTTTTTTATCTTGTTGCTAAAATGATTCCTAAAACACTATCTCAGTGAAAATGTAGTATGCAGTTTGGATATTCTTTCAGATGCACTATTTTTTCCTTCTCTCTCAGGGTGTTGATTCAAAAGATGGTATTCCTTATGAACAGAAATTCTGCAATGGTAATTCTTTTCATTGAAATGTTTAAAGTGATATTAGTTTGTAAATATTTGAATACAGTGGAATGAATTCATTAAAAATACAAGGCTCCTTGAATATATACACAGGTCATGTAAGGCAATGCTTATAAAAACCAATACTAAGAATATAATGAGCTGCAAGTATAATCATTTGTGTCATATAGACTGATTCTTTTCAAAGGGTAAGCTCAGAAAAGTGTGGAATAGAAAGAAATTATGCATAGCCTTAGACTAATGGCTGCACTAATACCCACCCATTCATCTTCTTCCAGAGCGGTTTTGCAAACATTATTTAAAATTATTATTAATTAAAATTATTAAATAAGTGAAAAAGATTTACCCCTCAAGATATAAAGCAAACACTACATTGCAGAAATATACATACAGAATTTCAATATCTTTTAAAGGCAGGCAGCTCACTGAAGTGGAGGAGAAAAACAAAGTTGGTAGATAATTCGCGGTTCAGGATGGAGGCAAACATGCCTATCAGTTGCACTAAGGCAAGAAGAAACCAGATTATCCCTTTACCATAAAAACAAAAAACATAACATAAGAGACTAACTGGGGTAACTCCGGAGTTCTATTTTTCCCAGGCAAGCATGTCTAGGCATCCCAATTTTCTCATTTTCCAGCCATGATAATTCTGCAAGAGTCTAGTTGCTGAAAGTCTAGATCCACATATCTGTGCTTTTACAAAGAAAATTTACCAGGAATATTATTATCTACACCAGAAGTGGAGAACTGGAAGGGCCTTTTAAATTATCAAATCCATTTTCTGCTCAGTTTCAGTTCCCGCTCAGGAACTGAAATTAAAGCCATTCCTGACAGATGGCTTTCAGCATATCCACCACCTGTCCCTGTCAAATTCCTCTTGCCATCATTTCTGAACATTTAATTAGAATCTGCCTGTCTATAAAATAGGGAACATAAACATTGAAATAAACCTTATTAACAAGATAGTATTTTAGTTTCAAAAATCCTTTCTCTAGCATAAGAAGTGGTTGTATTATTTGAAATTATTCACAGGTTGTAAAAAGTACATAGTATCAATCTGGTTTCCAAATTGTCAGTTTTTAGACTACCACACTTCTGCTCTTATAGTAAGACTTAAATGTCAAGAGTTGTTACAAAGGTTAAGACCTCAGGAATAGCATCTATGATAGAAATGACACAAATTATATGAAAAAAGTAGAAATTGCTTGCAACATTTGCTATTCATATAAAGATACCCCAATGTGCATAACAATATATAAATGATGTACAATAAGAAGCAACAATATGCAAAAGGGAGAAACACACATAGACAATGAAGGAATTTGAGCTTTCTAGAGGCCTAAATTATATAATCTCTCTTTAACACATAGTAATCACAAAATGATCTTATGAATGTTTAAAGCAAGCTCTAACACAGGTTAAACTGGAGCTCTTTGGCTAACAGAGTTTAGTAATAATAGTTAAGAATAGATAGACAGAGTTATTTTTCTAATATTTGAAAGCCATACTCTTTACTCATTTATTTCATTAATTTACAGCTAGCTTTTTTGAGAAGCTTGTTACTTTGTTCCAATAGATGACAGCAAATTCTCAGTTTCATTGCTTAAAATTTATTCAGTTCATTACAAATAGTAAAATTACTTCATATTAAAGTACCTTGCTTAGCCTGAAGAGAGACTTTGGTCTCTATTAGCCTGCACTTTCTTATAAAAAAAATGGCTACACTCCATTTATTCTAAATCCTTCAGACCATAAAGTTGAAGTTTGGAAAAGAGCATAAATGGTCATTTGATTCTTTTTTTTTTCCTCTTTGGGCATTAAACTCTTGCTTGGATTGTGCATTTTTCAATATATAACTTACTACATGAGAAAATCTAATGAGAATTTTAAGATTATTAATCAAATATGTACCTTAGGCACAGAATCCAAGGGTATAATTATGCTGGGAGACTCTGCTGGAGCTCGAGCACATATCCCCCCCGAATGGATAACTGCGTCACAGATATCACCGGTATGTCAGCATCACAGTTGGGAATGCTATAGCACTGGTTGGCTTTAACAATGTACTTCTGTGTTACAAAGGGACGGCAGATGACAACAGATGTAAAAATGTCAGCTGATATTTAACTTTCTACAGCTTTCAATAGAAATTGCCACCAATGTAATAAGGCATAATTATAGTGCAATGAGAGATATGTAAATTCATGAGCAAACCCAGAAAACCAGAAACTCTTTATTTAAAAAGGGAAAAAGATAGATAAGCCATTACTGCTATAAATGTGAACAGTGACTTCTCATTTTCTGTTTGTTTTTTTACATAAAGTGAGATATAAGTATTGCTTATGCAATATTTATCATTAAGATAAAATTAAAAATTTTCTTCAGTCAAATTTCATCTCAAAGGCGTGAACATGCCCATGGTTTTGTTTGTTTGTTTGTTTGTTTTTTGAAACAACAGAAAAGTTTGTCACTGTATTCTCCAGAGTGGCCTTTTTAAGTCTAGCTTCATTTAATTAATTATGTGCTATCAAATCAATGTTGATTTTATCAACCAAATAGATATTCTCCAGGATGACTTGTCCCCAAACCCTTTAGATCTTCCAGTTGTGCATCCATCACTGCTGCAATTGAAACCATCTGCTTTGATATTGGTTGTCTTTTTTTCATTCCTTCTACTTTTTCCAGCACTATAGACTTCTCCAGAAATCTAGATCTTTGTAAAATATGTCCAGATATGATATTTTGAATTTGATGATTTATGCCTTGAGTGAGAATGCTGAATTGAGTTTGTATTGCACAGATGTCAAACTTGCAAAGTCACGTGACGTGTTGCAACGTATTGCGACTTTTTCCCTGTTGCTGGCAATGGAGTGGGCACAGTTTTAGTGTGACACATCCAGCCCGCGGGCTAGCAGTTTGACACCCCTATATGTATTGCCTATCCATGTAATTTCCTTGATAAAATACAGGAGCAGTTTATCATTGCCTTCTCCTTACAGAATAAAACAATTCTATTGGTACGGAACATTTGCCTCCAGCATCTTCCTTTATTGCTGATGCTCAATGAAATTGTTTTAATGATTGTAGGGCAATAAGAATAATGGATGAGAAAAAAGTTCAGTAAAACTACCTTATATTCATAATTTACATAACTATATGATATGCCTACTACTGAGTTGGTCTAATTTGCTGGTTTCCTAGGATTTATTGTAAGACCATCAATAATATTATCAGAGAGAATGCTTCTTCCAAAAACAATGTTTATATTTATTTTCAATCGTCTCCACTGATGGTTTCTACTCATCATTCTATCTAATAGTATACAACATAACATGACTCCAGATCATAAATGCAACCTACTTTGTCTCAAGAAATAAATCTCAAAGAATGGGTTCTGCAGTGATATAAATTGCTAAATAAATACATTTGTATTTTGAGTTACAGTATTGCTTCTTCTATCATTATTAGCTAAGTCACCGTATTTAATTTGATTAAGACTATTAACTGCATCTAACATTGCATTTAATTTTTTCATACTTTTTGTAGTGTCTGATAATAACAATCAAATTAATTACTAATTTATGATGTATGGAAATGAAACCAGTCTGTTTTTTTTTCACCTTCTTTATAGAAAACTTATTCCAACATTCTTGAGGTAATTAGCAATGAAATTGACTGGCCTCAATTTTCAGCAGTCACTGGGTTTCTCAATTCCACAATTGGGTAAGATAATAGCAGCTAAAATCTTTAGGATGCTTGAATGTTGAAAAGAGTTCAATGTAGTAATGGACATTTGAATTAAATGTTTTTAAAAAATAGGATTATAATCCAATGTTTCTGCTAATTAAAGATGGTTAGGAATTTTCTTTGAACCACAAATTGAAAGTCACTCTCTCTCAGCCCTAGGAAGCAGGCAATGGCAAGCCATTTCTGAAAAACCTTGATAAAAAAACCTGCAGGGACCAGTCCATGCAATCAGCAGGAATCAAAAACTGACTTGAAGGCATATCCACACCAAATGTTGCAATGCAGTTGGCTCAAGGACTAAGCCAAAATAAATGAAATGTGCACTTTAGAATGAAATAGGTTTACAGTATAGGGTATACTTTCCAAACAAACTGTAGAAATCTATCTTTTCAAAGAAATTGATTAAAATATGCATTTAGTTCTGTTTTTGCATCGTTTGTTTTTATTACAACTTGATACAGGAAAGGGACTGAACAGATTAATGAATGAACTGTCTTGCATTTGATATATATTAAATGTGATTACAATTTATTGTACTTTACTCTGGAACAAGTTAAGGTAATCAAGTATACAAAGTCAAATTTATCTATTAATGTAATATTTTGCATACCCGACTTGTTCTTTCTTTTCCTATAAGTGTTACATTTTCACTCTCATTTCTTTTAATTCTTTTTTATTCCTCACGGTCCATTTTTTTTAAATCCACTCATGACACTGCCAAGAAAAATCTGCCTCATATCCAGAATCTGTTCTCAACCTTGTATTCTTCCTCAACATTCTCAGTCTTTCAAATCTAGATTTAATGAATCAAATAAAATATGCTTTTAAATTTAATTCCCTTCTTTGCCATGTTTGCATGTATGTATGTCTATGTATGTATATGTGTGTGTGTATATATGTGTGTGTGTTTGTGTGTATAGTAAAACCACATGTTTAAAATAAATTGATGTTTCCCATCTATATTATATATACTCTCTTGTTTTGTTCCTACCTACCTATCTATACACTCATGCTATGTAAGAGAATAATTTTTTTCCCTGGATCCTAATCATTCAGAAGGTCACACTATTTTCATCCCAATGTATCTCTAGTTCTTTCATTATTTTGTATTTGCATTATCTTTCATTATGTAATATTCTTTGAGCATAACATTACAACAACCACAAATCTGAGAATTTTCAGTTTTATGTCAACTCAGACTATAATTAAATTAAACCTATATCTTAACTTTTATATACTTCTTTATCATTTCTGTTTCACAAGTTCAAATTGACCTTGATTGAAATCTGTTTTATCTTCCACTTTCTTTTGGTTTCATAAACACGCAATTTAACTCTTTTCTTTTAGTGTTTACATGTATTACTTTATTGTCTTTACTCCTCTGACGTTCCCGGTCATAATCTTCCATATGCCATACTAGTCAACAGATGGGTTCATAAGTATTAACTCTGCCTCTCAGGGGCATTCTTTGGCCAATCAAGACTTTCAAATGACATTTTTCAATAAGAGAAGGGAAGAGTTTCCAGTCTTAGTTGTACCCATGCTACATGCCTTTCTGCTAATAGCAAGGACAATATTTATTCTCTCTGTCTGCACATTTTGATCAGTAAGTACAACTAAAGTTTACTTTTATTACCAGCATACTCCCACTATTATGTGCAAACTAGGATCTCCAGAGACTATCTTGCAAGCCAATTCACTAATGCTTTCAAGTACATGCAGTATATTGACACACTGAGGATACACAAATAGCAATATATTTTAGTGCCTTCTTTAAAGAAATACTTGGTTGAAAGTATTGGTGTTTCTAAAATGTAATATATTGCTTGCTCTACTTTATGTAATATAGTTGACTGCTTTCTAAAAACTGAAGCTGTCAAATGTAAGTAGCTATTTATAGGAAATCCATCCTCATTAATAATGCAATTTTATGGACTGCACAATGTTACTGTCATCTTGACTATAATGCACAGTAGCAGCTGCTTTTGTTTGTCTGATCCCTCCCATTTGCTTGGAGATAAAGTCTCAAGTCAGTCTGTCAATTAAACAAAGCCAGTGATTCAAGTCTGCTTTGAAAATAGGTTAATGTCTCTTTGTTACTGCTCCTTTCATCTTTTCTTTAGGTTTTAAGTTACCAGAGCTCCTAAAGTTCAGAGTATACAATAATTTATAATGCCACTTGGAATGCATCAAATTTAAACTATTATATATCATATTTATAATCATTGCAATAGACATAGCCTTATAATCATTGTTACTGATTTATAACTACTGTATGTTACTCATCTTTCTTAGAAACTACCCAGGTTTAATTTTGTCAATGAAACATGGCAGTTCTTTGAACTAAAATACAAAATATACATAAAGTGTCTGGACTTTTTACTGTATGTGTGCAGACATGTATGCTAATTTCCTAGATGTATATTCTGCATGCTTCCAGAAGCTCATATTGGTTACCTGGAAATCTCCCTTCATTTTATGGCCATCACAGCAACTCTGTGAGATGTATTGCAATTCATCCAGAAATCAAAGAAAGGGAAAATAACATTATTATGCAAAAGAAAGTTTATGTCCTGACACAACCTGTTCCTTAGTTATATAGTATCAATTCACTAACCACCATTTTGATTATCTTTTTCAGAGGAAGGACAGAGTCACTCTACAGCCTATTACGTAGAAGAAATCGCTGCAATCATAAAGATTACCAGAATATTTCTAAAAATGGTATCTTCTCATCCATCATTTTCATTGGTGCTTATAGCCGTGCTCCATAAATAGAAGCTAGAACACTGAACTCTTATTCTAAATTTAGACATAGCAGCAGGTTATAAAATTTGAGCTTCAGTTTCGTAAAAGCATAGCTCATGGGATACAGCATCTGTTTTCTATGAAGGTTCAAGTTTCATATTCTGCCATATTTAGCTTCACCCCTGAGTGCAGGAGATTTGCACAGTAAATAATCATGTACAAAGATTTACAGTGAAATCCAGGTCTGTCCTGGGTAATCTAAAGACAGATTACCTTCAACTTTTGATTCTGCACTATATTTCTGTTACATATTACTGATGCAGAGACTCTCCCTTAATCTTTTCTCCTTTACTTCATAATTTCTCATCTATTCTTTTTTCACATTTTATGATAAAATGTTCCATCTTGAACCTGAGCAACTCATATTCTCTTGTAATTATAATTCAATGGCTTTGGTCCATTGAACATTATGAAGACAGGCAATTCATGACAGAGCTGAGTGCCATTAGTAAAGGGGAAATGTGATTTTAACCTTGCTTGTATAAAGAATCATACTTCACTTGAATACAATTAGGGGAACCTGGAGCCTCTTCAGTTTGCATCATTAAATTTTATACTTTATAAATTTCATGAGCAAAGGGTTCATTGAGCGATAAGTTAAGGGCAACTCACTATCTAACTATTCTTGCACAAAAGTGCAAGATTTGAATTCCTTTGAAACTATCTTTCCAATTCTTGTCCACAGTGTTGCTACAAAAGCTTTCATATATTAGATTTATTGTATTGAAGATCCATTTCTTTTTGGCTATGACAAATGATAACTTATTATTGTATTTAAATGAGATTCAGGAAGAAAACTACACCTTAGCTGGACTTGGAGGCTTTCCTATGTAAAACAGAATAATTAGAACCTATGTAGCACTCTTGTAGTGTAATAATTTTACCAGAATGCAATGTAGCATTCTGTCAGTCAATTTCTGAACTGGGAATTCAAAGTTCTCCCACTTGATTCACCCAGATCTTTTCATCTTCCTTTGCAGCTTTCTAAAATCAGCAGGTTTTAGATAGCCAGAGCAGCAGTTGTGGAAGAAATCCTTATGACTAATGGAAGAATGAATGGGATGCCATGGGTACTCCATCCTCTGGCTTAGTATTAGATAAAACTTCATGAAAGGATCTCTAAAACATTAATCTAGCTTTCTTTGATCTTGATTCTTTTCAGCTGTATGAATTTCAATTTTCGGTTTGCAACAATAACTATTCTGGTTGTGGAACTATAGAAATTGAGGTTCACACTTCGGAAGATGCCTAGTTTTTGAAGGCTGCATTAATAATGTGAGATCATTCAAGCTGAGATGTTGGGAGCCCTAGATTTGTAGTCCACATACACATCCCAGAAGGTAGAAATCTTAAAAACCTTCTCATTTTATTTACCAAATCATGGAAAGTAAAATTTAGTCTGCCACAACACACCAGATAGATACTATTACTCTCTAAATTGTTTAGTTAAGAATGTGGCAATTTTTTGCTCCAAAACTAAACTGCTATTATAATAGTTCAGAAAATTAGAGTATGTACTTTGAAACATAGGATTCCATTCTACCTCCCAACTCAGCTGTTACACTTCTACCGTAAGTTCTCTACATTTTAGATTTTAAATATGCAGATATACCCTCAACATAGGATATGTTGACCTTAAACCATAAAACAAAAAGAAATTCCATTTAAATTAAGTAAGGTGGAATTATCATTTTTATTTATGACAACTGAAATTATATACTTAATATAACAACAGATAGTTCATTCAACTGCCTTATATTTTCTTGTATCCAATTACTTTGGTTATTTAGGTGCCTCTTCAAGAAATGTCCTACATCTTGTACAAAGGTAAGTAGTAAATAAGATCTAAATATAGAAGAGCCATACTACTTCTTTTCTACATGCTTATATAAACTGTGACCACAATTTCTTAATTAAGTGTGATCTGGACTTTATACCTACATTTATTTCTATAAATATCTATGGTACTTTTCATCAATAGGTTCAATATAACTGGAATATATTGGCTGTCACAATATGTATAAGTATGGGATGCATGTGTGTGATTATTCACGGTATGTATAGAGTTGTTAAGTTATACTTTTAATTTATTTTTCATTTCTAGCTTGGCAAGGAATCAGCAATTTGACAAACCAGCCATAGTTATTTTTGCAATGATTGGGAATGATGTCTGCAATGGGTAAGATTAAAAATAAAATTAACACAGAATGTATCCATACTAGAGATTTAAATTAAGCTAATAGTCATTCATTCTTTCCAGAGATGTCTGAAATGGGTAGGTTTATTATTATAATTAACCTATAATTTTAAATTATAATTTTTAAGCAGGGACAAAAATGAAGTGGTAAAATATCTAATTGTTTAGTATAGATATATTGTACATTTGCTTTATGTTGTGTAACATCCTTGTAATGTTATATTAAACATTCTGATTTTCTGTGTGTATGCATGCTCTCCAATATTTTTACATAAAATTATTTTCTTTCATATATGTGTCTACAAATATTTTAGTAGAATGTTTTCTGTCTGGCTTTGTCAGGTACATGCAGTAAATAGATATGATAAATAAATGTGCAGAATGATTTATTAATGCATAAGCTTGATATAATGTCCTTAGTGCAACAATGAATCTAAGGAATCTATATTTCCATTATATTTGTACACCTATCACATCCTTCTTCCCAAATAATTGTATTTATCAATTACGACTCCCACCATATTCTGACATTTCATAAAAAGTCTTTGGAAAACTGTAGATTGGTTAAAAAAGGGGATTCACAACATGCATTCTCTTAAACCTTCATTGGAACCCATATAAAAGTTGTTTTCTGATTGCAAGTTGTAATTCAACCAAAAGATAAAATTATGAAAATCATAAGGAACAATCATATTAATTATATCTTCACTTAATTTTAATCAACTTTATATGTGAATGACATTAATCGTTGTTTTATCTGATATAGCCCAGTTCTTTTTCTTGGCTGTCTACTTTTTAGATTGAGGTTCTAGGAGCTCCATTATTAAAAAACTGGCTGTACCCAGCCACGCATTGCTGTGGCTCAAGAAAGAAAAGAGAAAGTGCACATTTGTAATATGTTTAATTTCACAATGCTTGTGGGTATACAATATTTTTTGTTGTTCTATTGTGTGTGCAGATATAGAGATTATGTCCAACAGATGGCACTGTTTTTTTTAAAAAGCATGTTTTAACTGTTTTTCAAAAAATCATGTTTTACCTGTCACAGATGTAACACCTATATAATATAGGTATATAAAAGGTATATATGCGTGTATTCGAATGCAATGTTGTGTCAAAATTTCAAAGCAATCGGTAAAGAACTTTCAGTGATTTAAGATTTTGAACAAACGAACATTTACATTTTTATTTATATAGATAAACATTTAATAAAATATATGTGTAATACAAAGATATGCAATTCACTGTGCAAAATCTTAGCTGTGATTGTCTATCTTTTTTTCCTCCCAATTATATTGAAACGGGGAAACAGGCTTATGTGCATCCATAATTTTCATATTTATACCAATTAATTGTTAACATTTACAAGAAGTTACTTCGCTTAAAATTCTACTATTTCTGATCGTTAGTTCATCACGTTGTGCCTTCATATCATTTTCTTGCTTCTATTTTAAATGCTTTCCCCCTTTGGATCATTTTTCCATGATTACAATGCAATCCTATTCTTTTCTACTTATGAGAAAGCCTACCCAATCTTATAAGGTAGCTATCATAGCATTCTTTAAATTGGCTGCAGTATGCATGCAACTATATGATACTATATGCAACTATATTGCTTCTGAAAGAAATTGGATGCCAAAATAATATGAATGTTCAAATCTGTCTATGGTCCTAAGGAAAACTCACTCTTTCCTTCATTCTTGTCATGATGACTGATTACTTTCAAAGAGATTGTGAATTAAATCCATTTGGAAAACTGTATTCCAAGAAAAAGTAGAAAATGTATGGGATAAAAATTTTGATCTTACAAGTCATCTCACAGATTTTTTTTTTTGCTTAAAATATACTCAGATTTAGCACGGATTAAAGATTACAAGAGACTGACATTTGTTTCTATTATTCCAAATAATCATAATACGATAGTATAAATATCAAATTATATATTCATGTACCAAAGTTAAAGATGGGTATAATAATATATTAACATTACAGAATCAGGTTTTGTGTGTGGGTAGGTATAGGTGTGTTTAAGTATAGGATTTTTTTTAAGCACTTTTTATTATTTTACTGTATCATTAGATTTTAATGATCTTGTATTTAGTCTGTTTTAATATAATAAAGTCTTGATGTAATTCAATCCGTTTCTTGAAACAATGATAAGACAACCAGGTTCTATATGCTGTGTAATCATGTCTCAAGTAAAGGACATAAGCCACTAAGTCATGACAACATAAAAAAATGAAGACTGAGAAATGCATTTGTGGTAGAGATAGTAAGACTAACAGCTTGGCACTTTCCCAATAGAACTTAAATTACAATGGCCAATTTGGATGTTGTATAAAAATACAGACAGATGGTATATATTTCATAGCTTACAAGACATGTCTGGGACAGAAGAAATAATAATGAACATTAAAAATGCATAGAAACTATAACACTTTTTAGGCTTTTGTTGATAGTAGATGTACTTTTGTTTCTAAATTGATCATTTCCACAGTAAATTCCCCATTTTATCTGTGAAATGAAGGCATGGTAGCAAGAGAGAAGCCAGATATGATTGACAGAGCCCAGAGGCAATCTGTTCTTTAAAATAAAAGATAACAGAAATAAATTATAGAAAGGGATTAGAATTCTGTCATGCTAAATCAGGTGTATTGGAAGTTGCATCCTGCCCCTTCAGAAAAAGCTTTATCTTTAAGAATTTCTGCTAAATGCTGAGACTGACTACAAGTGCAAATGGAATGACTTGTCAGTTTAGCATTTTATTTTCCACAATCCTTACTTCTCAGAAAAGAAATAGTCTGCATTTATGAGATAATGTTAGCATATACATCCTTGGGTATTTTGACATTTTAAGTAGAAGGGCAAGATTGGGATAGAACTAATTAGTTGTCAGTTTTAATTAACTGATTAAGTGACATCAAATCATTTTCAATTCTACTGACTGCCCAGAGAGATTTTCTCTATAATGATCAGTCCCTAACCTGTTCTTTGAGAACTTGCAAAGGTGCCCTCATTGCTATGGTAATAGAGTCCACCCACCTGGCTATTGGTTTGTTTCTTCTCTTTCCTTCTACTTTTTCCAGCATGGCCGCCTTCTCCAGAGGGCTAGCGTCTTCACATAATGTGTCCAAAGCAGAATACTTTGAGTATGGTCATTTGTTTTGGTTTGTTTTAAAACTAAGTAACTTCAAAGAAGATATTGCTCATAATTTATAATCATGGGTCATATTAAAGAATGTATGGTTCTTTATTCTTTCTTTTACAGAAATCCAGACACATTGAACAAAATGACACATCCTAAACAAATGCGCTCCAATGTTGTGAAGACTTTGCTTTACCTGGATAGTCAACTTCCAAAAGGGAGCCATGTGATTTTGATTGGCTTAGTAAATGGTAGCTTTATCTGGGATGCCATGCACAGGAGATACCATCCTCTTGGTAAATGTAATACTTACCTTTTTTCTTGAGTTTGAAGGCATTTTAGAGATTCTGAGTTTTTAAAAACAACAGTGAAATACAAGTCCTTTCTGCACAAAAACATGTACCTATAGGTTTTTTTTAGGCAGAAAGAATTAATGAGATGACTTTTTTAACTGGCAAGTTAAATACCTTGCATTTTTAAGAAAAAAAAATCTGTGTGGTCAAGGAAAAGCAGGGTTATTAATCTTTAAAAGGTCCATAAATCACCGAATTGGGCAGAAACATAATTTTCAGACTTCCAAAGTTATTTGTAATAGTTTAATTTCTATTTCAAATTTATGATAAATATTTTTCTTCCAAACTTATCCTGCTAGAAACTAGTCATCCAATGAAGCTTAACCCTGGGAGATTTAGGACAAATATCTAGAGGAAAATGCTACTATCAACTTTATAGATTTGGCTGATAAACTATTAGTTTTACTTCCCATTCTGGGTTTATTGGAGAATTAAGCTAGAAAAAAAGCAACAGTGCAGAATAAATTAAGATATGAGGGCGCGGTATAATAGTGTTTGAATTCAGATGACCTATACAGACATATAGTTGCCATCCTTTTATCTTTAAAGCCAATATCTATGCTGTATAAAAAGTGAAGCTGACATACTGTATACGAAGATGGTTTTGATCTTCCTTGATGTGAAATGACTACTTTTGTTGGAGAGGGAAAGTCTTATTAATAGGTAAAGCATCAGTCATTCACTTTCAGTATTTGACTTTATTATAAGATTAATTCACCTATCTTCCTGCCTGAATTGGCTTAGAAAAGAGGAAGAAACTGTATATATTTTGAGACTGAAACAAATGCTGGGTGGAAATCTGACATGTTTACATATGAACAGTTGCTAGAATACCTATAATATGCAGCCTTTCCTTTTTTGCTGTTCAGATTTATTCCATGAGAAAGAAAATAAGGAAGACAGGATAAAAAACAGCAGAATTTATACAGTGAAAAAGCCCATCTGAATCCCTTGTTCAATTCTCTATAAATGCCACACTGGGAAGCATTGTGGTCTCATTGCTAGAAATTTAATTAAAATATTTTGTTTTAAATAGAGAGCTGATGAGGTTATTTTGTTTCATTTTGCTTTATTTATTTAATAAAATACAAAAGAGACAATAATGCAATAACAAACAAGAAAATATTTGGAAAAGCAGCAGTACATCACTACATACATTATACATAGAAGGAAGATATAGCTATAGCTTTAGAGATTCTTTATGGATATAGTGAATTGTTCATACATAATCTATATCTAAAGGTAACTCATTCATAAGAAGAATCAATACACAAGACATACATGGAGGTAAAAGTTAAGGAAAGGGGCTGAAGTTCTTTCTGTTTCCAAAATGTTTTGGAAAAATATCCATTTATTGTTAACACGTGAATGTTTCAGACTCTGTCTCTTTGTACAGAAATAATACGTGGAAGAAATCCTTGAAGATAACTTTATTCTATTCTCCTTCACAAAGTTGTTGTTATCACTACCTTAATAGTATTGCTAAGGTGTTGTAGATTTGGAAATAGTTTATTGCAAATCTAAAGAGTTGCTTACATTTTCAGTCCAAAAAGAAGAAAGTACCATCTATGGCCATTTCCTGTAACAATTTTTTGTGACTTGCCTCACTAGAGTATAAGAGTATTATGATATGTACCTGCTGTCAAAATCAGTGATGATAATGATAGGAAGTTAATAGGAAATCTGGTTGGCTATTTTATGAATCCATGACTAGAACTATTATAAAATCCTTGTCAAAGAGATTGCTTGTATGTTTCCAGCAAGGATATTTTAGTTTTGAAATCTGTTGACTAAAAAATATTTTGTTTTTCAGGTCAGCTAAACAAAGATGTCACATATGAACAATTTTATTCTTTTCTTAGTTGTCTTCAGGTATGGCAACCAGAAATCTTGCATAATTATATTTGATGCTAAATTGCATTCTTTTTCCTCTTCCTCCTCCTCCTGCTGCTGCTGCTCCTCCTACTTCTTCTGCCTCTGCCACTTTTATAGTGTTGCTTGTAAGGGAGATACAAAGTTCTGGCTCTTGCTCTTCTGGCAGCCTCAACTATTGTTAACTGATGTTGATGTAGTGTAACTTTGATTTTGTCTCTCCATCTTCTTCTGGGTCTGCCTCATGTTCTTTGATCTTCTCTTTTTGTATATGCCTTGTACAGTATGGAATCACAATACATCCTCTCCAAATTAGCAAGCCCCTCCATTTGCTGTTTTTGTACGTAGTTTAAGATTGATTCTATGTCAATACTTTGTCTTATGGTCTCATTTCTGATTTTATTTCTTCTGTCACTCCAGCAGCCTTCCTCAAATATTTCATTTCCTTGGTGACTAGCTTTTGTTTATGTTTTGCTGTAAGTGTTCATGTTAGGCACTGGTAATATAGGGTGGGGATAAGATGTTTGCATGAGATGCTTATTTGTGCTGATTGGTATGGTATGGCAAGCTGCTCCAATACTTGGTTTGTCTTCCTGCAATCTGTTAATCTCTTCGTCCACTTCACCATCTTAGGTTAATGTTGCTAATATTTGAACTTTGATACTTGTTTTATGCCTGTTCCTCCTATCACTATATTTAGGGTATGCTTTTTTTCTTCCAGGTGCCATTACTTCTGGTTGTTGATTCTCATATTATTTGTGTTGCATTCTTGGTTCATAGCTATAACATGTTGTTGCAGTTTCTTGGCTCTATTTGCTATCAATTCCTGACTATCAGCGAAGAGTAGTTTTTTTATATTATTATTACCATATATTCCAGCGTATAGGGCAACCCGGCACATAAGACAACCCCCTAGTTCAACGCCAGGTCGCAAGACAATTGACGCCAAGTCACAAGACCATCAACGCCGAGTCGCATTCCTAGAAAGTCGTCTTATACGCCGGAAACTACTGGTATTTCCAGCGTATAAGACGATCAACGCCGAGTCGCATGCTTAGAAAGTCGTCTTATATGCCAGAAACTACCTTATTTCCGGCGTATAAGACGACTCGGCATATAAGACGACCCCCGAGTTCAGAGGCTGTTTCAACGCTCTCAAAAGTAATTTTATATGCCGGAATATACGGTATTTGTTTATTGATATTATTTCCATTCTTGGGTTTAGTTTCTTTGCTTATGCTGTCAATGTACTGTAAGTGATAAACAATAGTGATGATAGTACACATGCTTGTTTTATTCTGGATGTTACTAAGAAGGGTTCTGATGTTCTTTGATTTAACTACACATCTACAATAATAATATAAGCATTTGCATACTCTAAAAAGATGTTCACTTACTCCATATTGGGTCAATATTAGCCATAACAATTTTCTATCAACTCTATCAAACGCTTTCTCTTCGTTTAGAAATGTGACAAAGAGGTTCTTATTATAGTCCATGTTCTTCTATATTAGTTTTTAAGCACAAAAATTTCATCTGTGCAGCTTTTATTTCTTCTAAAACCTATCTGCTCTTCTGTTAGTTGTGGTTCTATAACTGTCTTAAGCTAGTTTCTATTATCTTAATGTACACTTTCTTTACATGTCTTTATTGGAGTTTTGGGAGGCAACTTTCCCATTACAGCTACAGATGAGATTAAAATCAGATTGACTAAGTCAAAACATATAATGGGATACCTGCTGGTGCTGGAAACACAACATAACACAGTTCTACACAGAAATTCATCTGCCCCTTTGCTCTAGTACTAGAGAAACCCATCCATACTTTGGAAGCACTGGAAATAAACAATTAAGTGACAATAATTTTACATGGAATTTAAATGCAATTTAATATTTCTGTTATCATTTATATAATAATCTATATAAAGTGATGTTTATAAAAGTTATACAAATAATTGTATTTGTAACAATTTGATATGGATTAAGAGCTAATGCAGGAGTTCCCAGTTTTTTCAGGTTGGCCATTTGTAGAACTTTGAGAATATGTTTGAGATACTCTTGCAAAATTGCTGCTGGAAATAAAGCTTGCTCAGGAACAAATGATTATCAGGGAACATAATATGTAACAAAACACCAATTTACCAGAAAACTGTCTTTCAATCTGTAGCTTTCCTCCACAGGATGTTCCTAACTCTCTGTTAATCTTTGTCCTCCTTCTCACCAAGTGAACACTTTTTCAAGCAAAGGGCTATGCACCCTCACCATATTTGTCACAGGACCTGTTTGAGGACTGGGACATTCTCAGAAATAAAGCTGATGTTGAAATCTATGATTTTGTTTTGCAATATATACTCTTTAAAAAGTTTTTTTAAAAAATGTAAAATGTCAAAAGTCAAGTGAGATGGGAATCATGGTTGACACCAAGGAGATAATCTTTTGGCATCTGAGGCATAACACTGGAGATCTTAGAATTAATGACAAAAAAAACCCAGTCAATACTGTTTGCACCATGTGGAGCAGAGTATTATGGAGTGCAAATTTCTTAAGACATTAGCAGATTAAAACTTTTCCCATAAATTGTTGGTCTTCAGCATTTTGCTTTCTGAAATAGTGTTACCCAGTCTTTTGGGCTAGGCAAGATGATAAAGCCTTATGTGATGCCATCAAAGCGCATTTAAAAAATTAGGAAAAAAGTTCTGTGCAGCACCATGTTAATATTTAATGTTGACAGTCAAACTTTTTGTAGGTCATCTATGTCTTTACTGCTAAAACTATGGGCAACATTTGACAGTCAGAAACATCTAAATACAGTTACATTTATTGCTACATTTATTGAAAACAAATGTTTCCCAAGTATAATCAAATCATTTGGCATTTCCAGATTAAGTCTGAAAGTTTAATGCACTGCTATTTATCTAAACTTCTGATCATTTCAGAAATTTTTGGGGTGTCACTTCCAGCTGCTATTTTTCACGCTACCACTCAACTATCTAGTAGACTATATTGGTCTTTTTCAACCATATATAATACTGATGCCATATTAAAAGAGCTTTTTCACATTCCACAGATTAATCCATGCAATGGCTGGTTGACTTCAAATGGCATACTTAGGAATTTGACTACAGAGGTATGTAATATATAAATTGTATGAATCTCTCTCCTATCTAAACTATAATCTGTCTGTCTGTCTGTCTGTCTGTCTGTCTGTCTGTCTATCTATCTGTCTATCTATCTATCTGTCTATCTATCTATCTTGTCTGACTTTTAATATCATTAAGATTTCCTATTTAATGTTTGATGGTTCAACAGGCATACACTCGCACTAGGACAGAGCTGAAGCAAGTGGCAATACTTCCCTGACTTGGATCATAAAACAAAAACTTCAGAACAAAAAGCATAGGCAGGGGCTGGCTTGGTTAGTATTTAAAGGGGAGATCAATAGGACCTTGCAGGTATATAGACTAGAGCAAAGGTCCCCAACCTTTTGTTTTGTAGATTTTGTAGCCATTTGTCCGAAATGGTATAGAGTTTCCTGCCTGAGCGGGGGGTTGGACTAGAAGACCTCCAAGGTCCCTTCCAACTTTATTATTATTATTATTATTATTATTATTATTATTATTATTATTATTATTATTATTATTATTATTATTATTATGGATCATCGCACAGTCAGCCAGATGTTCAGACTGGATTTTGCATTTTGTCTACCTATCGAGTCCTTACCCAGGACCTGGGATAGGCAGATGTGGATGTTTGATGGTATTACAGATATCGTCGCAGGATGGAAGCAGTTCCTAATAAGGCCGCCTTTTGCAATTGACTAATAGCGAATTTGTCAATGCCAATTGTGTTTATTATTATTATTATTATTATTATTATTATTATTATTATTATTATTATTATTATTATTAACCTTTTGGGCACCAGGGACTGGTTCCATGAAGAGAGGTTTTTCTGCGGACCAGAGATTGCATGGTTTTGTGTGCTGCCTGCATCCTGCGGATAGAGCTTTGCTTGTTTGTGCAGACCGGTTGCTGGCATGCCGTAGCCCAGTACTGGTCCACAGACTGGGGTTTGGGGATCTCTGGGCTAGAGAGAGAAATCCAGGAAGAAGTCTGTGGCAAACCAATTCTGTACTGCTGCTGAGAATATTTCATGGGCACGTTTATAATATCATCAGCAATTGAGCTCAATTTAAAGGGTTTCAAATGATCAAAAGTTATAAGCGCTATCTAGAATGTCTCAGAATATATCTAGAGCTTAGAAAGTTATAGATTTATTTTGGTAAGATTTGTCTATTAGGTGTAAGCAAACAAAGGATTGGACTTGACTGGATCCCACTGGTTCATTTCTGGGCTTGGGCCTGACAGAAGTAGTGGAAATGGATTAGTGGAGCACTGAATCTTTACCAAATCTTACTTTGAAAATCTGACATCTGTAAATGAACGTTGTCACTGAAATTGTGCAGCATCTTTATAGCATACTAATCAAAGATGTGCCAATAAGATAATTCTTTGCCAAAAGAGAGGTCAGTTTTCTAACTCAAATTGGCATATTTACACATAAATGTCTTCTGAGAAGCTCTGACAATACAGTGCTTTAACAATATAAAGGTCACATGTTGGCAAGAGAGAACAATTTTCTGAAGTCTTAGCAGATTCTCATATCAATAAAGTAAGGATGCATATTTTATTGATTTTTTTTCCCAGAGAGCCATGCTTCTTTCCAATGTCCTGAAAGAAATAGCAAAATCTGAGAAGTATCTCAATTTTGACGTTTTCTACATGGATTTCCCACTGAAAGAAAGTAAGTAAACAAAATCTGAATGAACAATTGTACATCAATAGAAGAAGGGACAATGCCCACTAGCTTAAAATTAACCTTGTCAAACTGGTGCCAAAACCTAGAAGTGTTGGATTGGAACAGGAGCATAAGGTTTCAAGTGACAGCAATACTGGGGAAGGCTGGCCTAAAGGATGAATATTGATTATTATTCTCCACGGACAAATTGTGGGGTATTTAAGAGTGGCCATTTTTTAAAAGTAAATGCTTATGAATTACCTTAAAAACTTGAGTACTGCTACTGGCCTGCTATGGTTTGAACAATCAGTGTAATCGTTTTGCTAACTTTGTCCAAGGAGAGATGGATGGAGGCGGTGATATCAATTCCTTCCCTTGGTGAGATGGTTCTCATTCATGAATTCTGCAGTAGCAAGATCCTGCGATAATATTTTGTTTTTAAACATTATAATTTAAAGAAAAGTGGAATAATGAAGGTGCAGCTAGGAGCCAACATTTGAAAAAAAATATTTTGTTTACAAGACATATAGTTTTATTAGAATTACTGATGTACTGGAGAATTGTTGAAGAAATGTGTTATTGTCCATTTCTATTCAGATTAGGAAAATCTTCAAGGGAGAGACACTTCGTTTCAAGAAACGATCAAGCAAAACTCTTTGAGGGAAATGAGTAGTTTAGAAATGTGAAAATAAATAAAATAAATAAGAAAACAATTAAGTTTGTTTAGTGTGGCATAACCCTGTAACATAACATAACCCTTTATCTTTGCTAAGATAAGCTGCCATATTGCTTTACATTATTCAAATGCTTCAAAAAACCCCAAAGCCCTCCTCCAACATTTGCAGTCTTTTTGTAGTTTTTACAATTGGTAAATATCAATAGTTGTTTTCGTGCTTACCTGGATTTCTGCTTCCCAGGTACGATAGCCCTAACATAAACACTTCTGGAGTAGTTGGACTGACTCATTTTGAACTTGACTTTGAATTCAAAAGGTTTTGAATTTAAAATATTTAATGTACTGTAATGGAAGAGAAAATCTTAAAGAACAGGAGGAAGAGCTGCTACCAAGACAATGGGCAGGTAAAAGAAATCTGAGCCTGGGGCAAAACTGTAACTTGAGAAAACATCTCAGACAAGACCTCCACGCCCCTCCCCCCAGCCCAGTTCTCATGAAGATGAAGGGGGGGATGAGGGAAGCACATTCAAACTTGCTATAGTCTGTTGCTATAATCTTATATTAAAAGTAGAATTAGCATGCATGACCTTGGTTTCCCAGTCTGAAAGATTGACAATTATCCCTAAACCTTCAATGGAATGGCAAGTTAAAAACCTGCTACTATTATATTTATTATCTGCTTTATCACTAGATGAGACATAAGAATTCTGAATTACTTATCTTTTTTTTTATTTAGTGATGTAGTCACATATTCTTTATTAACAAAGAATTACTAATGGATAGGCATTTACATCAAAACAATTCTGAAGATCTATTTAAAACTGTGTAACAGCTTTTAGCATATTGCTAGTGAGCTGAATTATTTTGAAATAATAAATTTAAATCAAAATAGTGGAATGTGGAAAGAAGTAAACAGTTTAACTTTCTACATTGCTTAATAAAATCTAATCTTACCAAAACAGAATTCTATCAATGTTTTATAGCTGCTTGAAGGAAAAAAATTTCCTTCTACACTGCTGCCATTTCATTCTATTCACTAACCTATTTTTAGTTTACAGTCTTGCTAAATCAATGCGAAACCTTTTCAGAGTGTGAAATATTTAGCAGCAAATGCTATTTTATCACCCACTTTCAATGTTTTAACACTTGGAATTTAAATGTTCTAGAATTGATTTAATGAGAATTAGGTCCCATCAGGTTTTTCAGGATTTTGTTCTGTGAGATTGAAATATGGATGTGACAAAGTCCCCATATAATTAAACTAAATATATCACGTTTCCCCAAAAATAAGCTCTAATTTGATTTTTGGGGGTGGGTCTAATATAAACCCTACCCCAAAAATAAGCCCTAAAATATGCACACCTAAAAATCAAGCTAGGGTGGGAGGTGGAGGAGTGGAGCTGCCCCATGCGTCCTATAGCCACTTACCTTTGTAGCAAGGCCTCCCTTGCCTGTCCACTTCTTCTGCAGCACCCCCTGGCCTGAATTTCGCCATCAGAGATCTTCCAGAAAGACTTCTGCAGCTGAGAACTGAGCTATAGATTCAATCCATAGCTCAGTTCTTGGCAGCAGAGGTGTTTCCAGAAGGCCTCTGATGGTGAAATGCAGGTTGGAGCTCCATTCTCAGCTGCAGAGGCATTTCCTTCAGCCACAGAAGAAGTGGGCCAGCTGGGCTGGGCTGTCAATGCTGCCACCACAAGGTGAGACCTTGAAAAAGACACCCTCGGAAAATAAGATCTATGCAGTGCATAGGTGACGAACCTATGGCACGGGTGCCAGAGGCGGCACCCAGAGTCCTCTCTGTGGGCACACGTGCCATCACCCCAGTCCTAGGCTTTCAGCTGGGTTTTATAAAACCTTTCCGCTTTAGATCTCCACCGCCATGTACAAAAAAAAAAGGTTCAATCAATCAGTCACTTTCAATTTCTCGCAGGGAAAAAAAGATCTTGCAAAGTTGGAATTGATTGATTGAATTTTTTTAGTCCCACCCAGTCTGCTGTTACCACTGCAGTCATGCCCAGCCAATGGGCCACGCCCACCCGGCACCTGACGATGCATAAGTGGGTTTTGGGTTGCAGTTTGGGCACTCGGTCTCTAAAAGGTTCGCCATGACTGATCTAGTGTCTCTTTTGGAGGCTAAACAAATAAATAAATAAATAAATAAGTCTGGGACTTATTTTGGGGGAAACACAGTAGTTTGTTCAAAGACTAAAACTTCTCTGTTCATAAGTTGCATAGCCCTTTAAAATATGAGAAAATTTAAGGCAATATGGGTTTTTAATATCTCTTATTATGCTGCCTTTAATCTTCTTAAATTGTGAACTTTCTTTCCTGCCTTGAATATAAATGATGTCATTGATAATTTAAATACATATACATAAGTATTTAAGAACATATATAAATGATCAATAACATTACTGCATCTTTATTTGGATCATGAACAAAGCATGCATTTGTTTTACCGCAAGAAACCTGCAATAATGTTGCAAAATATTATTTAGCATTGTTTCAGTTAGATGACAGGTAAGAATCTGGTTCTTCTAACTACACTCCAGAGAAAATTAATTCATTTATCTGTCTAACAGTAGAGATGCTTGCATTTTCAGAAATGGAAAACTGAATTTATTATTAATCCTAGAACTTTTAGAAAGGATCCCAAATATCATAACATCTGGGGAAGCCTAATTTGAATATTTCCTGTACCTCAGTATAAAACTATGATTTTATGTTGTAGCTGTATGGTTGAGGTCTTAGAATTACAGGCTGAGGTCTCAAACCTCTTCTAGAAAACCTCTGGTACTACACATCTTAACTACATATCTTAACTCTACTGTATATTACTTTCTGGTAAGGGGGAAAAATGAGAAAAAAAAATAAAATTAGTGTTGTAATCCCAGCTCCTGACCTTGTATTGCTGAGGCGTTTGGCTAGGGATATCCACCCTTTTTTCTCGATAGAAAAATAGAGCAATCCTACATAAAACAAATAGAATAAAACTTTATTTTAAAAAGAGGAAGAAACAGTATTTTAAAATCCATTTTGGTGGACTTTCAGGGGAACAATGGTGGACTGAAGATAGTTCCACAAAAAAGAAGCCAATGAATCAGCTCTTTTCTTTCTAGATTTAAGAAAGGACTAGGATCACCCATAAGTTTTCTCTACTCACAGCATCCCTGTGAAGAGATCATAAGATGATGATTTCCAGGAAGTCTGAGAGCTCGGTGAGCTGGAAGAGAAAACATCCTGCCTAAACCACAATTTGGTGCCTTTAAAGGACCACTAAGTTCATCTACTCCCTGTCTTAGCTACTTTGGGAAGCTGCTTGTTAATGAGTTTCTAGATATTAGAATTTTCTGAAAGACTATCTGTATTACAATAAAAGATTTGCCTTCTACCCTGGGTGAAAGAAGCTGCAAGTAAGATTAAAAAAATAAAGGATTAACAAGAAGAGCTTTATTTAAAATTAAAGGGTTAGATAGACTTCAGATATGTCCTGTAGAGTGTTTAAAATTTTATAATAGAATATATGAAGTCTTTGAAATTAACTGCAAGAAATCTCTGTAAAAAAGTTTGATGATTTGAAAATAAACAGATGATAAGAGGAGATTTGAAGGTTGATGGGAGGGAATTGGGTTAAAAGATTACACTTAAAGAATAGTAGACCCATTAAGAAATTGAAGGCTTGATTTTGGCAGTGTAAGAGCAGGCTATACAAATTAAAACAAAATCAATACAGTATTGAAAAATTGTCAACTGATTCAAATGATTCAGATTGCGCTAAGAAGCAGAAGAAAGAGTAGATCATATACTCTGGACCTATAAGAAGATTGCACAAGCTGATTATAAACGATGACATAATATATTTGACAGGATAATTCATTGAAATGTCTGTAAAAATTATCAACTACCATAATATTCGTCATAATACTAACACTACTACTACTAATAATGATGCTATACTATAATAAAATGATTGAATTAGTGGACCAGCAAAATGCTGTGGACATAGTATACTTAGATTTCAATGAGACATTTGACAAAGTAGACCACAACCTATTTCTTCGTAAGCTAGAAAGATGTGAGATTGACAGCACCACCATCAGATGGATTTCTAACTGGCTGACAAACCACACTCAAAGAGTAGTATTACATCTAAAGGTTCCCTCTTAGGCCCAGTATTCTTCAATATCTTGATAAACGATTTAGGAAATAGAAGGGCAACTCATCAAATTTGCAGATGATGCTAAGCTGGCAGAAAGAGCCAACACCCCAGATGATAGGCTCAGGACCCAAATGGATCTTGACAAACTTGAACACTGGGCCCTATCCAACAAAATGATATCTAATGTGGAGAAAAGTAAGGTTTTACACTTAAGCAGGAAAAACCAAATGTACAAGAAATATAAATCCTTCCATTCTCCACCATCCAGTCAAAGCTTGGATGAGAAGTAAAATGTCTTCAAAGAAAAACATGAAAGCACCGTTGCCTCTTGAAAAAGCACCTTTGGGACAAAGAGGGGGAGGGAGTCTCCACACACACTCACACAGGTAGAACTGAATGAAATGATATTATGCATATGAAATTGTTCAGAAAGATGTTTCCAACAAATGTTGCAATCCCAAAAAAGGAATCCATTAGCCTCTTTAAAAGAAAGATGTTTTCTTGTAATAGAATCATAAACCACTAATCCTGACCTGTCACATAAATATTCTCCTACTCAATACATTTTCTTTGATCTTATTAGGATGAAGTTTCTGGTGGATTTCAATATTAGGCATCTCCTCCTCTTTTGCTTCTCCTTTGTCTCTCTATCCCCAATTTTCCCTCCTCCTCAAACAAGGTCACCTCTTTTTAAAAACAAGGATTAGTAGTTCCTCATACAAAATTAAGTTCTAACTAAGTACTTTTTTCTATAATAAAAGGTGTGTAAAGGGTTTGCTCAGCTTTAACAAAATTATAATTTACTTCTTTTCAAGTGACCACACCATCACATCTTTTCAATAATTTTGGGATTGCAAGTTGAGATTGCAATCCCAAAATTATTATGACTCTGAACACAGGTCATGATGTGTTGTAGATCCACCTGGCATGGATCTATTGAGGACAAATTTTATAAAACTTTTTATGACATAAAAATAATCATAAAAGTTTATTAGATGATACAGACTGTCGTACAACATTTCCTATGATGATGTTTGATTGTGTTATAGACTCCAAGATGGGCTATTTTCAAGGCAGATGAATCTCTGATTGTATGCCAACTATTCCAGTGAAGGCAGTACATTATAAGCTCTGTTATTGTTCAAAGCATTGAGGAATCTGATGAAATATCTCTGAAGCAATACTCAAGAGGTCATAATTCATTATCAATTATGCCTCATTTTAGTGTTGTTCTAGCTTGGAAGTGAATACAAATTGATCTGCCCACATTTTGCTCTGCATAAATATCTTGGAGGAATTTAAATGTTGCCTAGAAAGAAAGTGGAGGGAATATAATATTTGCTCTAACAATGTTGCGTAGGGCATCATACTTATACATACTGTACATACAGCATCATACTCATTTGCTAAAAATATTACTGTGTTAAGACTATATGTGTTTATTCCTATATTATATAATCTTTTATCATTGTAAGAAATAATTATAATTATTTTTGTAGTTATTGTGATGTGGCAGAAAATGAAAGGAGAAACTTGGCAGCTATTAGAACCCATGGATGGATTTCACCCTAATCAGGTAACAGACAAGATTGGGGGGCAAACATTTAGAACAGAAATATATGACTCTCCAGATGTTGTTAAATTATAACTCAAAGCAAACCAAGCCGTTTTGACTAATGATAAAGATCCTGGGACTTGATGAGCAATATCTGAACTCCCAGGATCCCTTCTTTATTATAAGAGAATAAAGAAAATCTAGATTAAATGGGAGGTAATGATTTTTATTAGCATACTGTGCTTGATTGCAAAACATATGGAATTAGATAACACATAGGATAGCATGATAATTAAGGTCACTTAGGATCTTTAGGATATAATTTCCTCTGATATCACACAACTCTTTTGCTCCCTAGGAATTGTGTTTCTATGTCAAATCAAACTTCATTTGGTACCAATGGTCTATCTCAGTGATCCCCAATCTTTGTGGCTTCGCCTCCCAGCTGAGGGAGGGGGAAAGGGGAACCAGGCTGCACAAGTGGCAGGCACACAGGTACGCAGGCACCAGTTGACCTGCACACTCATGTGCAAGCATACTGACCTGCCGCTCGTGCAAGTCAAGCTATGCAATTTGTGTGCAGCCCCAGACCACCACTCACATGGTCCAGTTCAGAATAGGCCACGGTCCGGTAGTGGGCTACGGCCCGGAGATTACGGACCCCTGGTCTATCTGCCACTTTCTTGAAAGAAAAGGAAAGTCAGCATTCTTGAAGCTTCCTGACACAGAAATGAGGGAAGAGATTTATAATAGACATATAGACACACACACACACACACACACACACACACACACACACACCTTTTAAAAAGTTTGGTTTAACATAGGAATCGCTTTGCTTGGAATGGAGAATGAAGTAGAGAAAATGTGGATGAAGTTTCTCAATCATCCAGACAGAGTTGTCTGGAAGTTGAATCACAGCAACTAGATTTATTTTCTTCTTGGTTTGAAACATTTTGCTGCTTATTCAGGTAGCTTCCTCAGTTTGAACAAATTGGTTAGGAGGATCCCATATATATTCTCCAGGGTGGTTTCATTGGATGAGAAATTAAACCTCCCTGGAGGACATATATGGGACTCCATAACAACTTGCTCAGACTGAAGAAGTTATTAGGAGAAGGAGCAAAGTTTTGAACCAAAAAGAAAA